GTCAAATACATCCTGTGTGCAGTGTTGTATAAAGTACCTCAAAGTGATACTTGAGTAAAAGTACAAGTATTTTATCATAAAAATACTTTGGTAAAAGTTAAAGTCTTCTCCAAAAATATTACTTGAGTAAAAGTTATAAAGTATCTGATATTTTTTGTACTTATTTTACCAGCTGTATATATACATCTGTTCTCTGATTGGTCCAGGTAAAATAAACTACAAGCAGACACTGCACAGAACATTGATGTTCTGTTCTCTGATTGGTCCAGGTAAAATAAACTACAAGCAGACACTGCACAGAAAATTGACGTTCTGTTCTCTGATTGGCCCGGCTAAAAATCTGCCAGTTAAATCCTTGTCAATGGGAGAAGTCCCAGACGGAGCGGAGCTGCGTAGGAAGGCAAGGCCCAGGCTATCAAATCACCTCTGTCCATCTTAAACTACCAGTAAGGTTCAAATAAGGTTCCCCGAAACCCTAAAACTTTTTTATTCAGCATTTTACACAAATAACTTGTATTAATAAAATGTTTCCGCGTACAGTTTCTGTATTTTTACTTCAGACTCAGCCTCTCTGGAAGGGTTTGTTCCTGCATGTGATGTAATAGATTTATTTTATTTTCCACTTGGCATCAGTATTTTTTTCACACCTCCTTCTCAGTTTGCTGTAAAAGACCAGTTAAAAACAACAGTTTATAAACCACAAACATTGACATCATATTCATTGTACAAAATCAGGTTAAATACAGAGTTTGAATGGTCTACAGCTTTTTAATATATTAGTGTTATGGACAGGATCTTGAGGCGTACACGTGGGGAATCAAAACCTGGTCCTCATGTGTACGAATGCAAATTTCAGGTGGTGGTGGTGGTGGTGGTGGGGGGGGGGTCATGTTTAGGACCATGGTGTGAACTGAGTTTAAGTTAGTTTTAGTGTCCTGTGAGGTTAATTTTAGGGTAAATGGGTTAGGCTATAAAATTTCCAAAAAATGAATGGAAGTCAATCCACGGTCCCCACAGTGATATAAAAACCAGACCATGTGTGTGTGTGTGTGTGTTTGACCTCAGGCGCTGACCTGATTCTGATCAGTGTTGGCTTGTCAGCTGATGTTCATGATGTTGGAGAACAGGGCTGACCTGTCTCAGGTCCAGTAACTGTTGGGATCTAAGAGTTTGTCAGTTCCGGTTTTCATCCACTAGATGTCCTCCTGGAGCACAGCCTGCAGGAGGGCAGAATCTCCAGCAGGTGTGCAAGTCCCACACCTGCAATCCATCTACATTCATCAAGAGGAGGATAAGAGGAGTCTGCAGTCACTTCGATGCCTGAGTGTTAATTCTTGTGGTAACCTCAAGCCCCTGAGTTTTTCCTCTAAGTTCTGTTGTGCCTAGACCTTTGAGATAATCTTCTCCTGTTTGTGTTCCTAAAAGGTTACCTCCATTGACGGTTTGGACCGGTTCCTCTGAGGTCCTCCAACCTTAAAGATCTCCATCTCTCTGTGCTTTTTGGACTCCTCCACCCATTGCTGCCATCTCAGGACTCCTCAAGTACGTAACCTGTCTGCTAGTGATGGGCAAATGAGGCTTTTCTGAAGCACTGAAACTTGCTTTGAAAAAGGGTTCATTACTCGAAGCTTTCCAACACAGTTCTGTTTGGCTCCATCCTGTGGCCAAAAGTATGAAAAGCTGCTTGAAACAACACAAAGTGAAGCACTTCATCGTGATGGAGATGATAGCTCTTTAATGGATATTTCTGTTTGATATCAGGTTGTCTTTGTG